GGTAGTGGGAAAGGCCTATCATTTGACTTTTTATAAGGATAAGATTTACTCAGAATGCTTGGATTTGCCCTGCTGCATGTTAGTTCCTACACAAAAAATCAAAAGCAACCTCAAGTCCGAAGCCACAGAGTAGGGAAGAAGAGTTCAGTTTCCAGAGTACAGCAGTAGGTTAACAATATGAAACTTTATCTAGAGGGTGTCGGCATTAAATTAGTATAGTACTGTTAAAACAAAACAGTGAGAATTCACAGTAACACCTAGTAGTTCCTTCTAATATACATAAAGTCATTGAAGCTTTTTAAATTACATTTTATGGCTGTAAAGATTTAATAAACCAAATAAAATCTGAATCTCCATTCCATACCCCCTTTCTTTATTTCTAGCTAAAATTTATTCTTGTTTTGAATGTAGAGTTAAGTGTCCATATGTCTTTGGGAAAATTAAGTATGAATTTTGGATATTATCTGTCTTTGTATTGTTCGCAAAACTCCAGCAGATTTAATATTGACATTTATCATCCTTAACATGTCTTTTTAATACCTCCTTTAACACATCATCCCTTAATACATCCTTCAGATCATCCAAATTTGGAATTCTCAACCTTTCTGTGTCATTGAAATAAGGTTGTGGAATTAGATTTCATGCAGACCCGATTTTTCCTTGCCTCACTGGACTTCTAGTTGCCATTTGGGTTGGGTTTAAAAGGTTTTTAAGGGAAGTAGGGTCATTTCTTGGCCTGAGTCTAACAGTACAGATGTGGAAGAGAGATAAGAGTACAAGGAGGCTGGCTGTGGACTGCAGGGTATTGCTTCCATCTTGGTAGTGTCAGTAATTGATTTGGGGATAGCAGAGGTGATCTGGGCAGAGTTGCTTGAAAGTAGCACAACAGCTGTTTGGTTTGAATAAAATCTGTGTGGGTAGGAACTGTGCCAGCCCCATCCCAGCCCCCATTCTCTGCTTCATCGGTGCTTGTCACATCTTGCTGGAGCCTGGGTACAGAGATTGACTGACTTGGGATAGGCACAGGCAAGGTGGCAGTTTTGAGTTAATTTTTATGTAAGTGTGACTCTTGGGTCACAGTTCTTTTTTTCTTGTCTTGCCTATGGATTTCTAACAGCACCAGCACATTTGAGGAAAAGGCTGTCCTTCCTCTGCTGAGTTGCTTGTTGAAGCCATTGGGGGGACTTTTGTAAGTTTTGCACATGCTCTCCACCAGCACCTCCGTCCAATTCTTGAAGCTCTCTAGTGAGTCTTGAAATCAGATAGTGATTCCTTTTGTTTTGTTCATTTTCAGGATGGTTTCACCTATTCAAAGGACAGCACCTTTGATGTCAAATTTAGAGTGAGCTTATCTATGCCTGCATAGAAGCCTTGCTGGGACTTTTATAGGAATTGCGTTAAACTTATATTCAGTTTGGGAGAACTCATATCTTTTATTGTGTTGTGTCTTCTAATCCATGAACAGAGTCACTCCTCTTAATTAGACCTTTGATTTCTTGGATCATTGTTTTTGATATTCTGCATAAATTCAGTGTGTGATGTACTTCATGACAATATATGTGTTTTAAATTTTGGCTTCTATAGGAATATGGGAAGGTTATTAATATAATGTTTTAATTTTGTATCTTGTATCCTTGCTGAGCTTGTCTGGTCTTGTAGGCTCTTTGGGTTTTCTAGGGGACAATCCAGTCTTCTGCACAAAGGGACATTCCTATTTTTTCTTTCCATCTCCCTGGGTGGCCTCTAGGTGAGCAAGGGTGTTGACAGCATGGTTATTGATTTGGGGGAGCTTCCAGACCTTCATCTTGGTGTTTGGCCCTGGCTGTGGCTTTTCACAGACATTCTTCATTAAGGGAAGTTACTACAATGTGCCAAGAGCTTTAATCATAAATCTTACAAAATAGGCTCTATAGTTTCCTGTTTTGGTTTTGTTGTTTTTTGTTTTTCTTTCCTGTGGATTTCTAACAGCATGGACCAAGGAAGGTGAGGTTGGAGGTGATGCATGATTTAAAGACGTACTCTGAGGCTGATGCCCACTTCAGCATCTTCACTTGTTGTGGCCAGTCTCATTAAATAGTGCTGTGTGTTCAGAACAGTGGCTTCAGGTGCCCTTATCTGATTTCTGTGTTTTATTTTTAAAGTATGTCTTCATTCTATTCAGAATCTGATTCTGACCCTTTGCTTGAGTTTTTGTTTTAAGTGATCATTTGGGCAGATTATTGCAGAACTATAATCATTAATTTTAAAATATTTTGATAAGTTAAAGAATAAGCATTTTTATCACCTTAAGTCTTACTATATTTCCCAAACAAAATATCATTATCATGTCTGTAAACTGGTGGTTAAAGAATTTTTTTTTTAATATGAGGTCTTTGCTAGACCAGCAAGGCCAAGGCCCCAGGGAGGCACTGACTGACTGTCTGATATGCTGAATGAAAGCCACTGTCCCATTTTTACAGGCTTGAGATTTATGCATGATAACCTCTCTTTCCTAAACTGCTGCCAGATGACCAAGGTTTGGATGTGAAGAAGACTAGTTTTTGTGTTCATATAAAAAGTAAGAATAGCTGGGCGTGGTGGCGCACACCTGTAATCCCAGCACTCAGGAAGCTGAGGCAGGAGTATCCCTGTGAGTTGGAGTACAGCATGGGCTACATAGTGAGTTCCAGGTCAGTCTCAACTGCATAGTGAGGAAAAAAAAAGTGAGAATATTGTAGTATGAGGTAAGTAAAGTGGGAGGTGTCATAATCCCAGATTTGAAGCTATATTACAAACCCACAGTGATACAAACAGCACGCTACTGGTACAAAAACAGACACGAGGGGGCCAAGCATTTAGATCAGTGGTGCTGCCACCTGCCTCAAAAGTGCAAGGTCCTGAGTTCAATCCTGCTACCAAAAAAAAAAAATGAGGATCCATGAAACAGAATAAAGGATGTAGAAACAACCCCAAGCACATTCAACTGTTTGGTCATTGACAGAGGGGCCAAAAACATACTCTGGAGGAAAAATAGGCTTTTTAATAAGTGATATTGGAAACTGGCTATCCCCTTGTAGAAGATTGAATATAAACCCACATGTCTCATCATGTGCTGAACTAAAATAAAAAAAATCAAAGCATTAAATATTAAAATAGAAACAACCTGCTGGAAGATAAAATAGGTAAAACTCTTGAAGTCATAGGCATAGGCTGGGACTTTCTGAACAGAACGCCAGTAGCACAGACCCCCCCCAATAAAAGACCCAATCAAAAAATGGACAAGTAAAATGAATAGATACTTTACAGAAATACAAATGACCAATAAATACCTGAAAAAATGCTGAGCATCACTGGCCATTAGAGAAATGCACATTAAAACAACATTAAGATTCCATTTTAGCCCAGAAAAAATGGCTGTCATCAAGAAATCACATAGCAAATGCTGGTGAGGCTACAAGGAAAAAGCCTTTCTACACTGTTGATGGGAATATAAACTAGTATAACCTCTATGGAAATCAGTATGGAGATTCCTCAAAAAACTAAAACTAGAGTAAAAAAGGGAAAAGAAAAAAATGTAAGAGAATGAAAAGATGAAAATAAAGTGTTTGTAGATGGGGAGGGGAGAAGGGGGTGAAGGGAGGGCAGAGGTAAGGGGAAAAAATGAGAATCAAGTCTTGTCATGTAGAGGTACAAGATCCCAACAATGAATGTAACTGTACTGTATCCCTAAAATGTACCAATAAACTCAGTTAAAGCTGGAAAAAAAAAAAAAAAGAAGTCACTAAGCCTGTGGAAACAAAAAAAAAAAACTAAAACTAGAAATTCCATTTTACCCAGCTGTCCCTCTTGTAAGTATCTTCCCAAAAGAGGTGAAGACATATTACAGTGATATACGCATACCCATGTTTGTAGTAACACAACTCATAATAGCTGAATCTTAGAAGCAGCCTCTATGTCTATCAACAGATTAATGGATAAAGAAAATGTGATGTTTACACACATTGAAGTACTGTTGTGCCATAAAGAAAGATAAACCTGGAGGCCAGGGATTTAGCCCAGTAGTTCAGCCACCTGCCTCACAAATGCTAGGTCCTGAGTTTGATCTCTGATACCAAAAGAAAAAAAGAAAAACATGAATCATTTGAAGGAAAATATATGTACTTTATGACAAAAATGTTAGCGAAATAGGTCAGACACATAGGCTTAAATATCACATGATCTCTTACATGAGAAACCCAAATTATAAAGAGCAAAAGAAAAGATAATAGGAAATAGATAAATCTTTCTGAAATTGGAAGTCGATCAAGAAGGGAGGGGCCGGGGATTGAGCTCAGTGGAACCACACCTGCCTCACAAACTCAAGGTCCTGAGTTTTATATGCGATTCCCAAAAAAAGATGAAGAAAGAGGGAAACCAGTAAGGGAGGGGAGGAATGAAAGAGGATGAAAAAAGGAATTAGATGTGTTATGTTCATATACCAGCTCCACACAAAGAATGTAAACATGTACTGCAAATGTACTAAAAAATTTTTAAAGTCATTAAAAGTAAAACAGGATTCTGGATAGCTATAAAAACGAATATTAAATTTTAACAGAAAAAGTAGATGAGCCTGTCTATGCTGAGAATCGTGTATAGGAGGAAACAACAATTTAACATTTTTGGAATTATACAGATCTGTATTAGTGAACAAAGCTTTAGTTTTTATAAGGTCTTTACCAGAAGTGTAAAAGAAACATACACGTATTTATTGTATTTTAGACATTCTTGGTTTTTTCAACCCACTGTATACAACTGAAAGTTGTTTCGCAGGTGAAAAATTCTTTATTTTATACTCAAGCAAATACACCCCAGGAGGGCTGAAGGAACAGGTCTGGAGCTGTGCATAAGTCAGGAGAACTGCTGCAAAGACTCCAGGTTTTATTCTTACTCATCTGCCCTTGCTCATTCTATGTGATGTACCTGAGAGATTGTAAATTCCTGCCCTTTGCTGATTTGTACTTGTTTCTCCTTGTATTTTGCAGAGCCCTTCTGGTGAGATTGGAAGGATGTAGCCACCCAGTTGTCATGAAGGGCCTTTGTGCTGAATGTGGCCAGGACTTAACCCAGTAAGTGCCTTGAGGGAGCAGGGCACAGTACCCTCGTGGAGTGATGTAGGTTATGGGAAGCAGTGTGGGGTTCCATGAGAGTCCTGCATCCTCTGTCTCAGCAGACAGATACCCTTCCCTGCCTGCATTTGAGTAAGGCTAGTTTCCCAAGGAGTAGTCCTTTCTGTCTTTATTCTTCCATTTCTGAAGCCCTGCCTTCTGCTGAGTGCTCTTTTCCAGCATGACAGGAGAATGCTAGGGGGTACTTGTGGTTTGTTCCTATTCGGGTTTGTCGGGGGTGGACCACAGTGGTCCACTGTGGTGGAGGTGGAGCACCTCTTCTGAAGGTGGTGTGCCTAACCACCCAGCCCTCCTATCCCACACTGTAGGCCAGGTGACCACTGTACACTAAACATTTTCTCTGTTCTGTAAGTTTAGCAGTGTGGGTGACTGTCTCTGGACTGTGTGTTTTCACGTCAAGCCTCTTTATGTTTCCATGTGACTTTGCAGTTTATTTCTATGGAGAATTTTGAGTATGACTGAGCATGACTGCCAGTCTAACCCTGTGCACCTTCTGTGCATCTTGACTGTGAAAGTGATCATGAGCTCAGTTTTTCACATTTTCCGATCTTCAGACTGTGAAGGATATTCCCATAGTTGCGCATGGAATAGAGTTCTATACTAAGATAGCTGTATGTGTCACCTATAGTGCACGTAGAAGTCGTGTTGCTCATGGTAACACATGCCTCTTGTGTACAATTCATTAAGTGCAGTTAGTTTTTCATCTCATCTTCTTGCATTCAAAGACTGCAGAGTAAGAATGGGAAACAGCAGATGCCACTATCTACAGCAACTGTGTCCATGGTCCACAGTGTGCCAGAGTTAATGGTGAGCTCTGAGGTGAGTAGGCACTGGGGCACTGGGCTGTGTAGGGGACTGTGGGACACCCATCTGTAATTGTCATTTCTGAAACATCTCTTATTTAGTGGGTACAAGGTGTTGCCCTCCTGAGAAGTGGAAGGCTGCACTGGTTCTGTTTTTACTTTTCCTTTACAAGCAAGTCTTCCTGCATGAGCACCTCTAGAGACTCTGCAGCTGTTCCACTCATGTGGGGCAACACACCCACCAGCTCAGCCTGTTTCCTCAAGCTAGATTCTAGCAGAAGGGACTGTGATAGACATCTAGACACAGAACACTGTGGAGGTAATAGTGCACCAAGGGTGTGTGCAGGGCAGGCTGGCAAGGAGAGCAGAGACAGGTGGGGACCAGTGAGAGAGTGAGAGGTGAGGACAACGGTGCTCTTGGGCTGCCCAGCAGCCTCCATTGTTATTGGTACTGGTGGGAAGCTGTGGCTCAGGCTACTGTGGAGAGCAAGTAGACACAGGATCCCAGGTGACATCTGCATTGCCACTGGCCACAAGCAGTGGAGCAGCAGGTCCTATGTGCAGAATTGGGAGGTAAGGGACCATCTAGAAAGTAGAACTTGGGTACTATTTTAAGTATCTACTTTTTTTTTTTTTGGTATTTCAGGAGTTACTCAGACAGCTCACATTTCCATAGGTTAAGGTTTGTGTGCCTGTGGCAAGCGTGGGGTGTGCCACACTAAAAACCAGGTTTTGTAACAATTCCATAATCTTCAGAGTTGTATCTTTATAAGTAGGGGAAACATTTTTCAGTGTTTTATTAGATTTCTGCTTTTAAATGATCTGTTCTAACTAGTCTATTTTGTTGTAGGAAAGACAATACCAAATACATACTTCTGGTTTTTCTGAATTACTGATCTTTAAACAAATATAAATATGTGTGTATGTAATCAAAGCCAAGAAGTTTACAATTAAAAAGAGAAAAGTATTCTCCATTTCTCTTTCCATGGCAGAACTGTTAGACTTCCTGCATACTTCCTTTTAGGAGTATGGCAGAAGTTCTTCTGTCTGTGCTAATCCAGACCAGGAATTTGTCCATAGATAACTCAATGCCAATTAAATGGAGAAACTTAATGCGTTGCTCACCCTGCTGTGTTTTATTTAATGAGTTACGTCAAGCCCTCTGTGAGAGGTCCAGCCAAGGCCCTTTCTCTGAGGACAGTCCTGCCTTTGTCATCTTTATTTTCTGTTTTTTTCTTTTTAACTCCAGCAAGCCGAAAAACTAGGAAAGGAAGATCAGCAACGACTACATCGAAACAGAAAACTGGTCCTCATGGTTGATTTGGACCAGACTCTAATCCACACAACAGAGCAGCACTGTCCACAGATGTCAAACAAAGTGAGTTTTGCCAGCCATACCCAAGATGGCTCTCCCAAATGCTCTACATTTTATCTTTCGATTTGAAAGGGCATTGTCTTGTTTTTAACATTGGTTACCATTGGTCTGCCTGTTTGGGGGGAACAGACTGGTTAGTCATACATATGACCTTAGGTCAGATAGCCACTGCATCTGGGCCACTCCAGGTGGCAGCGTAAATGTGCTGTCACTATTAGCATTTGCCAGAGATGTAATAGTAATATGGAGAGGTTTTGTGTGCAAGTCCCCACATGCTGGTGTCAGCTGGAGAGTAAAGATTTGGAGATCTTTGAGGACAGTAGAGTAGTTGCATGAGGATTGTCATTGGAGGAGCAGTTTTGGGAAAATCGTTGGTTTGGGGTGCCTTGAATTACTGGATATCAGGGTCAGGATACCTAGGACTCTGCTTTAGAGAACCTGGGCAGGAGACCAAAGTGGGATTCTCTGGGTAGCAATTCTCCAGGAAAATATGAGCTGTGTAAAACTTTCCTTTAGTCCAGTTGCTTCCTAGGAATAGAGCCACAAAGTCGAATGAAAGGATTTTGATGCCTCTTATAGGCAGTTCACCTGCAGGCCTCTATTGCATATGCCATCACCAGTGTTAAAGTTACCACATTTTTAAAATGTTAGCTGTTGAACAGATAACATGCAAGCTCTTATTTTAGGTCTTGAGTTCTCAGAATACAGAGGTGTTAATACTGCCTTTCAGGTGTTCTTTGACAGAAGAGGACTAAGCCTTGTTATGGCCAGGTATAAAGTCAGGAAGACAGTAGAAGACAGACCACATAGCCCAGCAGAGGGTCCATCACAGAACAAGGGTCCCTCGCCACTAAACTGCCAGGGGTATAATTGTACCATGGAGAGGTTTGGTAAAAACAAGTCAATGACTTGTTTAATAAATTAATAAATTAATAAATAGACCAGGTTATCTTCAATTTTTAGTGTTCTTTGGAGATTGAGCTTGAGTTTATGGCTGGAATTCCATCTCCACAATGAATTTTATATTTTTTAGTTATTTTGTATATCATGGGATTTACCCAGAAATAAGCTGTATTTTGTGCGGTATAAGTAGTTATTAAATATTTTCAGATATTTCATCCGTGCCAACTACTCTCTGTAGTAAATGTTTTGAAGAGCACACACACTTTGCACGTGTATATACCAGCACGTGTTGCCATAGTTATTTTTTATGTTGTGACTTTGAAGTTGGGCATTTTGAATTAGTCTTATAAGACAGTTTGAATGAATTCTCACGTAGCGGAGGGGGTGGATTCAGAAGATAATGTTCTCTCTGCGTGGAATGGTTTAGGAATGAGCAGTCCTCCACTAATACCAGTAGTTTCCAAGGTGTCCTCCACTTCTTTTGTTTTGTTTTTGTTTTTTTAATAAAGTGCCTTTTTTTTATCAATTAAAAAGTATACAGGTATTTGAGCAAACATAACAAAATTAAGGTAAACATAAACACAGATCAAGTAAAGTTATGCAAGTAAATACACTAGTCTAGCATTGACTTAATAAAATATACTGGGACTATATTAATTTGACATATTCACTTGTACCTCAAAACAAGGATTACAGTGATCATGTAGTGATATAAAAGGCAGTTCTCCAACAAGAACTGATAGTTCTTAACACATATTTCACTAAACAAAGAAGCCAAGCACATAAGGCAAAAACATGAAACCAAAGGAAAAACCATAGGTTCACAAATATCACTGAAAATTTCAAGACACCTCCCTCAGTAATTGATAACCAAAAAATGTACAAAAATCTTCAATGGAACAGTCAACATCACCAACATACTGCCTTAAGTGGAGTACCACACTGTATGCAAAAACTGAAGAGCACACAGCCTTCTCAAAATTGCAAGAAATATTCACCCAAATAGCCCATACTTAGAGTAACAGTACAGACATTAACATAGCCAAAGAAATGGGAATCCTGCAGAGTGAGCGCTCACATCTTTACTGCAGTGCAACTAGACAATAACAATAGAAACATATGTACTTAAGAATACAATTACTTTTTTCCTCTTTCTATTCCTATTATCTGTCTTCTATTTCATACTTTATTTATATATTAACTTTTTCATATAAGGGAAACCATGTGATGTTTAGAGTTGTGTGTCTGATTTGCTTCGCTTAACATTGTGGTCTCAACTGTCCCATTTATCTTTCTTTATAGCAGAGTAGTATTCTGATAATACCACATTTTCTTTATCTCTTTATCTGTTGATAGGCATAAAAGCTGTTTCCAAGATTTAGCTGTTATGAATTGTACTGCTATACACATAGGTATACATACTTTACAGTGATATGATATTTTTAACTTTTGGGGGAAGATCTGTAAAAGGGGTATAGCTGGGTCAAATAGAAAAAAATTCTATTTTTAGATTTTTGAGGAATCTGCACACTGATTTCCTTAGTGGTTGTATCAGTTTACACTCCCACCAACAGTGAAGTGCTCCTTTCTCCCCACAGCCTGACCAGCATTCATTATTGGTTGATTTGTTGATGATAGCCATTCTTTGTGGGGTGAGATGAAATCTTAATGTTTTAATTTGCATTTCTTGAATGGCCAGCAATGTTGAACATTTTTTTCAGGTATTCATTGGCCAACTATATTTCATCTATACCTTTTTGCCGTAGAATGCCTGGAATAGTTCAGCTGCAACAAAATCCCAATGTACTTCTGTTATGGTTATATCTAGATGTAACCCCCAAAGCCTCATGCATTCATAGGTAGGTCTTTGGGGAGGTGAATAGATCATGGGGTGTAATACTAATCAGTGGATTAGTCCACTGATGAGTTAGTTTATATCTGGGAGGTGGTGGGTTACTGGGGGTGTCCTCCACTTTACTTCTGTGCTCATGGCTTTTGCTGGCCACTGAGAGCAGAATTACAAGGTTTAGGGTGCCCAGTGAGAGCTCAGTTCCTAAAGTTTGGACACCTGCTGGCCATATGGGGAAGGACCATTTAATTCTTCAGACTTGTATTTTTAAAGCTTACATTATTACTATTGGACTTTTTGCTGTTGAGAGTAAGAGCTGTTATTTAAATTTCACAGTCCTTAATCTTTAACCAAATAGCTTCCCCACTAGCAGTGTGATTAATTAGATATAGTCAAAAATTTACTTGGCCCTATGTAGTTTATTTTTTTAAGTTGTTAAAAGTAAATATTTTTACTTGGAAGATGATAAGCAAGATTAAGCAAACCATAGTTTAACTCTGTAAAAAAAAGGGAGACTTCTTTACACATTAATCCTGTGAGCTTATTGGTATTACTAATTTCATCTGCCTACAAGAGATAGTCTAGAATATTATCTCAGTTTATGTGTTGTATTTATAAGCTTATAAAGCTGTCTTAAAGTCACCTGAGAGTATGATTTACCCTCATAAGCAGCTGAAGTTTCACCATTAATGCATTATGAGGAAATCTATTTCAAGTCATCTGTTGTTCTCTTCACGGGTAGCTAATAGTATAGTTATTATAGGTTTGAGGGGTAGTTGTAGATAGTTGTAGTGGGTAGTTATCATGAGTGGCTATTGTAGTTATGAAGGCTAGTTATAAGTAGTTATTGTAGGTGCTTGTCATGAGCATGGGTAGTTAACATTGGTAGTTATTGTAGTTAGTTGTTAGGAATAGTTAGCATAGGTATTTACTGTAGGTAGTTGTCATTTATCAGGAGTAGTTACAGCAGGTAGTTATAGCAGGTAGTAATTATGCCTAGTTACTGTAGCTATAGGGGGAGTCATCATAGGTAGCTGCTGTAGGTGATTATCATTATTACACGGGTAGTTCACATTGTCAGTCATTGGGGTATTGACGCATCTCTCAGAGTGTGTGGAAAGTTTTTTGCTCAGCGGGTTTCAGGTACTATAGACTGGCTTCTTATGAGAGTTCGCTGTCCCCATGTGCATCTCTAGACTTCTGCTGTGGACTCAGTGGTCTCAGGTGCTACCTGGGCAGTGCTCCCTGGGGCCTTCTCTTCTCACGTCATTGCCTATTCTTTTCAGGGCATTTTTCACTTCCAGCTGGGCCGGGGTGAGCCAATGCTGCACACCCGGCTGCATCCTCACTGCAAGGACTTCTTGGAGAAGATTGCCAAACTGTATGAGCTGCATGTCTTCACTTTTGGCAGCCGGCTATATGCACATACCATCGCAGGTCAGTTCACTGCCTAGAAATCTTGAAGTATCTAGATTGTGAGCGCCTGAGTACAGGGGAACTGGGTTTTGTTTTCTTAAAGATGAGGAAACAATAATACAGAAGCCCAGTCCTAGAGTTGACAGTTGACAGGGAATGAGTAGGTGAAAATTTAGCCATTTGCAGCCCTGTGGGCTAACCACTGTTCTCTGGGCAAGTGCATCTGTGTGGGCCAGTTTAAAGGTCTGTCAAGACTGCAGGTATATGGAGAGATAGAATCATACTTTTTCTTTTTTAGGAGTATACTTTAAAAAAGTATATTCTTCACTACTTAAAATGGCTTTGAAACCCTGTTGCTTGGGTGTTTTCACATGACAGTTGCTTCTCTGATGTCTTGGCTAAACTTGAGCTGGTGTGCTGTCTTTTCCATCTGGACAGAGAGCCTTGTAATAGCCTGTGGTGCCCAGTAGGTGGCGGAGCTATCTGGAGCCTCAGTGTAGGGAACAGAGCAGCTGCAAGTTTCCCTCTAATCCACTGAAGATCTGCCCTCTGCATTGCAATGTGGACATAGTGCTTGTGTGCCATTTGCAGTACTTAAAAATTCAAAAGTCTGTACAGATTGTCATCTGCTTTTGTTGACAGAGAGGTGAATTTCAAGTCTCTCTTCAATATTTAGTACCTTTGTAGAAAAAAGAAATTTAATAGATTGTTTTTTGTTTTTTTTTTTGGTACCAGGGACTGAACTCTGCACCTTGCAGTTGTGAGGCAGGTGGCGGAACCACTGAACTAAATCTCCAGCCCTAATAGACTTTTTTTTTTTGAATGCAGCTTTAGATTCCCGGCAATTGAACAGAAAGTACAAAGGCTTCACATATACCCCTGTCCCTGCACACCTACTGCCTCCTTCACTATCAGCATCCCCACATGTGTGGCACATTTGTTATTATTGATGAGCCTACACAGATACAATATTAATCAGAAGACATAAGCAGCAAATTTAAATTAATTCATTTTGCAACTTAAATTTAGTGTGTTTTGTCTTTAATATTATGACCATTACATAGCTGTCTGAAATATGTGACTTGAAGATCTATGTAATAGGACGTTATCAAACATGAACAGATAACCCCTGCTATGGTTTAAATGCATATGAAAACCTAAGCAGAAACATGAGAATGCTGGGCGGTGAACTTGGGAGGTTATTTGGTCATAAGGATTTGTCTTTGAGAATGAGATGAGTGCTTTTCTAAAGGGGAGACCACAGGGAGCCAGTACTTCTCCTCCACCCTGTGAGGTCATGGTGAAAAGTCATCACCAAGGAGAACAGCCTCTGCCAGTCACTGGTCTGCCAGTGCCTCGACCCTGAGCTGTGAGAGCCAAATTCCTGTGTTGTAAACTCCCAGTTTTGTTATTTTGCTGTGATAGTCCAAACAGGCTAAGATACCACATATGAAAATCCTTACGGATGTGAATCTCAGACCCAGGCTGTTAGCCTTCCATCTAGAACCATGCCTCTCTAGATACTGAATTGTAGGAAAACAGCCACAGAGTTCCAACTTGGTTAGATGACTAGGGCAGACATCAGCAGAGTGTGATAAAGAAGGCATCTCAGTTATGAGAGCTCTCTGGTGCTTTTGTTTTTAAATTTAAAATGTCATGTAAAGGTTAAAAATTATAAAATTATTTCAGTCAACATATCCTCATGTATTCCTTTTTCTCTTTTTTTGCACAATCTTATGTAGTTTGTCTTAATATTGTGTGTGTGTGTGTGTGTGTGTGTGTGTGAAGTGACGCATAGATGTATATTTGGATGTATTCTTTTCACCTGAGGTTATATCACTAAGGATTTATTATTCTGTCTCAAACATCTAGCAGCTGATGTTATTACATAGTATAACTTCTTGAACAGTTATTTTCATTTTGCTCTTTCATCATATGAAAAACATGCATTCAAAGTCAAACATGAGTGTCTTTGTTGGGGGGGGGTTCCACTGAATGAGTTCGTAAAACCAAAATTGTTTCATTACATGCTACAGAGCTTCCTTCTTGGAAAGGCTTAGTTTGGTTTCCTCTGTGTGTGGCACTTCATGGGCCCACTCCAAGTGATGTTAACCCAATAACATGCTTGAGCAATTCTTGGAGAGGTTGAGTGTGTTGGTGGTTTTTCTTCTTCTCTCCTATGCCTTGTACCTTTTTCTAGTAGCAATGCAGATGTTTCTTACATGGATTCTTTTGGGTCTCCTTATTTGTTTTTTATATTTAGAACAGTTATTGCACATGTCCTAGAGTTATCCTCTGGGGGGCATCATCTTAGTTTATTGATCTAAGCAGGTAGCCACAGAATGAGCCAAGGGGAGGATCAGGTGTGATGATAAGGAAGTTTGGATATGTACAGCCGCATCAGTGGATTTCAGCTGAGTCACACCCTTGTTTCAGTCCCTCTGAACTACAGAGCATGTGACACTGCATCTGTTAACCCACCTTAACAAGGCTCCAGTATGGTGAAGGCCAAGCAGGTGGAAAGAACATCCTGCATCTTCATCAGCCTGGAAGCTGGAGGGAAGAAGCCTGGGCATTATTTACAGCTTAAGCAGAGCTTCTGTTCTGTCTGTTTATGTAGCAGGCTGTGGTGCAGGAGCCTGCTGAGAGTTCTTAGCTCCTGAAACTATGGGAAGCAAGTCTTTCAGTGAGGCTGCTGCCGCTTGTTGAGCACCATGCCACCCCTTCAGATGTGCTTGCTACACTTCTAGCTGTGCTTTCTGCATTAAAATCCCAGTATTCCAATATATCCAAAGAATGTTGGTCAAAATGAGACAGTGATATCAAAAGAAGCCTGCAGGCACATATCCCTGTGAATATAGATGCAAAAACTCACCCAGAATACCAGCACACCATATCCAGCAGCACTCAAGAAGGATTGTGTTTTATGGCTGCCCACTAGAGCTGGTTGATGCCATCATACAGTGCACATCCAGAGGATTTGGGCCTCAGAATACCTGCTTTGCAGACTGATCCAGAATGGCTCCGAGCCAGGCACAGAAAAGGTGGAACTTTGGCTGAGTTGGGATTTAAGAAGTTGGTGATTACAGCATTTTATAGCTGAGAGGAATTATGAACATTATCTTAGTCAGATTGTGTACTTACAAGTGAGAACAGTTTCCACAATTGAGCTCCCTCTTTTATCATATCTTTAGTTTTTCAAGTTTCTGTTTGCATAGAATGTGTACTTTATGTATAATTAGCATAGACATGTTTAGTTTGGGGTATTTTTCATTTCCCTTATTGTACAGACTAGTACCAAATTTTAGGTCTAGCCATTGGGTGGCCTCAGTTTTTATAGGGTGATACCCATTTCTTTTGTAAGAGCAAGTGTTGGCTGGGTGATGTATCACACACCTGTACTTGCAGTTAGCGGGTGTGGTGGGTGTGGAAGGAGGATCACAAATTCAAAGCCAGCCTAAGCAATTTAGCAAGCTAAAACCAAAACAAGGCTGAGGTTATAATAGTTCTAGAGCTCTTGGTTAGCATTCATGCAGCAAACAAACAAACAAAGAGCAAATGTTTTCTGTTAATGAAATGCTAAGGAATCCATGGTGCAAAAGAGCTGAAACCTGTCAGTGCTGAATTTGAAGCATCTATAGATGATCAGCATAAAGACACCTTCCCAGAAGACAGCACAGCACCAGTGGTGTGGGCAGGCACAAAGAGTGGTCACCTGAAAGGCAGTGTTGAAAACAGAGGTTCAGGGCCAGGGATTTAGCTCAGCAGTTTGGTGGCCTGCCTTGCAAGTGCAAGGACCCAAGTTCAATCCCCAGTACCAAAATAAAAAGAAAGCAGAGGTTCATATAGGGCTGGGTATGTGTTACTAAGATAGACAAGGGTCAGGGATTTAGCTCAGTGGTTCCACTGCATGCCTCGCAAGCACAAGGTTCCGAGTTTGATCCCTGATACCAAAAAAAAAAGTAAGAGATGCACTTTGGTAGACAGTGGGATGAAATTTTAACTTGAAATGTCTGTCTTTGGAAATCATGAGTCATATTGTTAGTTTGGGTTTAAAAACACATGCCTGTGGACTAGGGATTTAGCTCAGTGGCACTGTGCCTGCCTCGCAGGTGCAAGGTCCTGAGTTCTAACCACAGTTCCAAAAAAAAAAAAGAAAAAAAAAATGCCTGTGATCCCAGCACTTTAGGAGGCTGAAGCTGTAGGATTACAGATTTGAGCTCAGCTTGGGCAATTTAGTGAGTTCTTGTCTCAAAATAAAAATGACAAGGGCTAGAGAATGTAACTCAGTGTGAAAGCCTGTGGTTCAATCACCAATACTGCTAAAAAGGAAAATAAAGAAGTTTTCTAAGATGTCTGGTTCACCTGTAGTTTTTACCTAAAACTGCTAAAGAGAGACATAGGGAAGGTGCTTTTAGTGGCAGAACCAAAATCAGTGTCACCTCTGGATTACCTTCCTCTCTTGTCCCAATAGTCTGTCTGTTTTCATTGCATATCATGGTGGATGGAAATGGCACATCATGTTTATCACTCTCTCAGCTCTCAGCTTCTCAGGAGAATATTGTGTGCCCTGTTCATTCTCACATTTGTTGTGGAACCTCAAGTCATGTTAAATTCAGCTGTGTAAAATGAACAAGGAGCCTAGGACACTTGTCTTATGCCTTATAGTACATTAACTTCCTGTTCCTAGTTTGTGTTTGATTGATGCTCTCAGCCCCCTCTGTAATGTGTGATGGAAGCATTTCATTTTGAGACTTTTTGATTATAATGGATTTCCCTCTAGATTTTTCATTTGGCTGGCAAAATTAAATTGTTCTATTTATATTGAACTTGATACCTCCAGTATATTTTACCATCCAAATAAATTATCTGAAAATATTATATATTCTAGGATTCTTATAAATTAAGTAAAAGTAACTTATTTTTTTCCATACAATGGACACTTGTAATTAAATTTAAAACTTTATAACTTTATGAGGGTAATCCAGTAGGCTTTAAGTTCAGAGGAATTTAATTTATAGATCAGGAAGCCCAGAATAAAGGTAATCCCAAGAAATCTCTGCCTGACTTGTTGCAGTAGTCACTTTTGAAATGGAAGATGTGTTTTTGCAGATAGTGTTGTTTTATTACCTTCACCAAGTTCAAGTAGATAACACATCATTATTGAGAACTTCAATCTCTTTTGAAAATTAATTTTTAAAAATTAAACTCACAATAACTGTCATGCAAAATGTAGGATGTCCAGTATAGTACAAGGAGATACTTTAATATGACTAGCTGGTTAGTATGTGATATAAAGAACATTATTATTCTCAGTTGATTCTATCAGGCAAGTTTTCTTGACTGTGCCTAAATTTACCAGCACTACAATAGGGTGTATAATAGTAGGAACTTATTGGACTGACTTTCCTGTGTATTTTAACTTCACTATATGTGAGTCAGTCCCATAGTCCTCCTTTATCTACAGTTTTTCTTTCTGTAGAAAAGAGAATATTACTGTACTGACTCATGTGGTTTCATTTAATCTTGGTCATCTGAAGTCTGAAAATATTAAATATATAATTCCAAAAATCAACAGTTCATGTGTTTTAAATTGTGTGCCATTCTAACTGGTATCATAAAATTTTATACTTTCTTTTCCAGGATGTGGATCATCCCTTTATTCGGTATTTTCATGCTGTATATATTTCCCACCCCATGTCTTGGATCACTGAGATCAACCCAAAAGTAGTGGCAATCAGATATGCCAAAGAGAAGCTAAAAGTGCTCCCTTTCAATGTCATCTCATCATAATCATTATCAACAAAAGCAGGGAGAATAGTACACTATGAGGGGTGTTTTTGCTTTGTTTTGTTTTATGGTACTGCACCTTTATACTGAGCTGAGTTTCCAGCCCCCCCCCTTTTAATGTAAGACAATATCTCGCTGAACTGCCAGGTTGGTCTTGAACTTGTGCTCCTCCTGCCTCAGCTTCTCAGTGCTGGGATTACATGTGTGCACCACCATCCCTCGCTATGATAAGATATTTTGAAAGAGACCATATTCACCTATTTTATTTCCGTATATTGTTACAGTTTGATTTTATTATTACCACTGTTAATCTTAACAGTGCCTAATTTATAAATTAAATATTAGAATAGCAAAGTGTGTTTAGGAAGAAATGTGTATGGTTTGATTCATATGGTTAAATACTAACCAAGTGTTTAGGCATCCACACAGGGTCCTGTAACATATATGCCCTGCAGACAAGAGGAGAAGACTATATAATTCTGCTAGCATAGTTTGAGAGAAAGAATCCTTCCTAATGTTTTATCTGTTAACTGTTGTTAAATGTCTTAAATTACATCTAACAGCAGTGTGTCACCAACCTCATGCTAGGGAAGGTTGTATTGGGCATGATGCAAAATAATGCAGTAAAGCACCCAGACCATGTAAAGTGAAGGCATCATTTACTGAGATAGAATATGATTTTCTTGCTGTATTGAAGAAGTACCTTGTATAATTGTATTTTAGCTGTTTAGCTTAGGCAGTTCAGTAGCCTATTACAAATTATTTCAAATTAAGGTCATCATGGACATAACTGTGATTCAGTTTGACAAGTTCCAAGCTACAGGAAAGATAAAAGCCTAAGTGAGTGGGTCTTTGCCGGAAAGGGCGTGAGGTATGCATGAGAGTTGTGTCCCAGGTCTGCTGCTGTGCAGAAACACTGTCAGTGGCACTGTGTACTCGATGGTCATAATGCATCTCAGAGGTACAACCTTTATTTTGTTTTCTTTTTACAGGCTTTTTAGACCCTGAAAAGAAGCTTTTTTCTCATCGAATATTGTCACGGGATGAATGTATTGACCCGTTTTCTAAAACAGGAAACCTTAAGTATGTTCATGAGTTCATCAGTAAGACAGTTCACTGTTTACTTCCCACTCAAGAAATTGCATTTTAAGAATTAGAGTGATAATTCTGTATATAACATTTCCTAAGAATTTAACCTGTCTCTCCAGTTTCCATTGTTACTCTCAGCATACTTAAAAATTTTGTCTTTTTGCCTAGTACATATGAGGCTTTGGGTTCAATCCCCCATACCACCAAAATTTAATTAATACATACAAAGTTTTTTTTTTTTTTTTTTTTTCCTAACCCAAACTCTCCTGCTTGGGTCAGGCCCCAGGTGCTGAAGCTTCAAACCACTGGGTCATACGTCTGTACTCTTTGCCCTGCCTACCTGTCTCAGCCTTGCCCAACCATTTGCAGAGCTGCTCTCCAAATGTTTCTTCTGCCAGGGGTGGTGTTGTGCTCCATCCTGCCCAGCCTCTGTGTGGACAGCACAACTTCCATGTTAGCACTTGCCTTTGCATCTATTTTACCTTCTGTACTTTTGACTTCACCACTCAGGCCAGCAGTGAGGCCTTAGATTTCAGAGGCCTCTTGTTGAAAGGCAAATGCAGAGGCAAGAAGCATTAAGTGAATTTCCCATAATAGTCTAGTTGTAAAGTCATTGCCTTCTTTCCTTTAAATATCTATAGAACATTGGGGCTCCTGGTGAACTTGGAGACTACACTTTTGGGGAGCGGAAACCCAGGCTACAGTGGTTTAGGGAGGGGGCTTGACATGTTTGAAGCAGCACTACAACCATATTGACTTCACAGTCTTGGCTACACATAAGCTCGGCTGTTTCTGAGCCTAGAGTTTAAGTGTAAAGAAAAATACCGGCACTGGCATAATTTCTGAGAAGCTCACATGCTGTTCATCCTACTAATAATTTATAAAAATCCTAAATTAAATGGTCATATGGTCCATATTTCTGGCTGTTTCTACTTTTTCCACCAGCTCTCCGCCCCTTCCTATTATCTATTCTAAGTTTTTATGACAAGACTGGCTCCTTCCCTCTCCTTTAAGGACTGATTTATATCCTCTAAAATTTCCTGCTCACTCTGTACAAAGAATCTCCTAGTTTCCACTGAGGAAGGGCTGTCACCATGATTCTCACATTGTATTAAGTACAACATATTTTCATGGTACTAATTTGTACCAAGACGTGGGCAACAACAGCTTTGAATTGGTGGTTCAGCTCATGCAGGCAATTTTCTAAAGTTTCATTTTTCTAGATTGGGGTCCACAGAGTTTTGAGACCTGTGCACATTAATATTAACTAAGAAGAGAATCTGAGGTATTTATTTCAGAAATAGACCTCTTTACTTGTTAGAATCAGAGAGTAGATGAATCAGAGCAAAAGAAGAGATAGTGTTGGTGATTTTATTAGTGGGGAAAGCTACTTGAAAATAAGAGTGTTCAACTCAAGAGAACATTCTCAGAGAAGCACAGGCAATCGGTGTTGTGCCTTGCACAGATACCACTGTACTTCAACTCAGGAAGTGCCAAATGTGCAGTTGGATCTGTTTTCCTAGGCTTTGGGCCATCTGGCTGTGTTTGTAAATAAAATATTCTTGAACTTGATCAGCCCCATTTGTTCACAAGACTTCACAGGGTTGTTATGACCCAGTGGCTGAGAAAGCCTAAAATATTTATTGACAAAGTAAAAGTTTGCTGACCTTTTTTTACAGAAAATCAGAAATAATGCAGAAAAGTATAATTATTTTAATGTTCCTCTCTGAAAAAGAGAGTTTAAATATGACTTAAATAAAAGCCCTTCCTTATAGTTTGCATCTTTCTGATGAATTTGCTCTCTGCTCATTACTTTTGGATGAGACTCCTGAACTATTGTGCTTCGACAAAATAAAAGATTATTGCAATCTTGTGTAAAATTGTGCATTTTTACTTTTAGAAATCTCTTTCCTTGTGGAGACTCAATGGTTTGCATTATTGATGACCGAGAAGATGTCTGGAAGTTTGCCCCCAACCTGATAACTGTGAAGAAATATGTGTACTTCCCAGGCACAGGTGATGTGAATGCACCCCCTGGGTCCCGGGAATCTCAGATGAGAAAGAAAGGTGGGTAGTCTTCTTCCTAACAATTTAAAAAGAAATAATTAGTGTTTGGTTCAGTGTTTAGCTTTTACTTCTTATATCTATTTTGGCTGCCATAAATTCAAGATTCACTTTGTTTTTATTTGTACTTAAATTTAATTGGGTTTACTTAATACTAAAAAGCTCAATCAATGCACATGAATTCTGCATTTCATTCCAGTTTTCCTTAAACAGCCATGATCATAGGAATGGGCCACCTCCTTCCTTAGAGGGAGCTTAATGTGAGATGCGGTGGCTCCTTTTGTAAGAACTGCCCTCAGAACACAGAGCCTTGGGCTGTGCCTGCCTGGAGGGTGCAAGGAACCATTCATCTTCAGGCAAACATGAGCCCAATTCTAATCAAGAAAATTTAAAAATTTTGGTTTTAAGTATTTCTAATAATCTTTAGTTTAAAACCAAAATATTTTGAGGCAAACAATTGCTGCTGCAATCACTAAAATGGAACTTAGATGTCAAGGCAAGGAAAAAGTAGGGCCCAAGGGCCTTCTTGCAGAAGTGTGTTGGAAACATCGCCTGGACAAACTTGGTAAATCAGCCTGCAAGGGTTGTAAAAGCAACAGATGCTTACTGTCTGGGAGTTAAGTTTCCCAAGGCCAGGTTAGAGGATGGATAATTTAAACCTTAGTGGAGAAGAATGCTTCTGTAGTTTTGAAAGTTGTTTAGCCATTAGGTAACAGTAACTTTTTCTTTTGTATGCATGTTTAGTAAATCATTCTTCTAAAGATGCTGATGTCTTGGAACAAGTTCCACCTGTGAAAGACCCTGAGGAAGGCAGACACATTCCTGGGGTGGAGCAGAGCAATGGCCTTGGGAAACCTGCTCGAGAGCTAAATGGTGGTGAGGTTGTGCCAGGGGCTTCTGTTAAGGCAGATGAGAGGGACTCCTGGCCCCCTGCTCAGGCCCCCTCCTCCATCAACCCCAGCAATTGTGTGCTGGCAGATATTCCTGAGTCCCAGGCATCTTGTGAACAGGGTGGTGAGACCTCACCAGGGGCACAGCCCCCTCAGGGGACCTCTGGCACAGATTTGGATTTTGACTTGTCCAGTGACAGTGAAAGCAGTGAGTCAGAAGGTCAGAAGTCCTCCTCCATCTTTGATGGGGAAAGTGAGGGGAAGAGAGGCCGGGAAAAGGCTCCAGCCACCCAAGATGGAGCAAGAATACTGCAGCAGGGAAATACCCCTGATACGAGCAGAGGAAAACTTGCAGGAGCTGTGCCCCTTGGAGAGTCTGGGGCTGGAGTCCCTGTAATCAACAAAGGGCCAGACCTGGACGTGCAGGAGGAGGGTGAGCGAGATGGCCTCTGTGGGCTGGGCAATGGCTGTGTGGACAAGAAGGAGGCTGAGACGGAGTCACAGAACAGCGAGCAGTCAGGGATCACTGCAGGCGAGTCCTTGGACCAGAGTGTAGAGGAGGAAGAGGAGGACACAGACGATGATGACCACCTGATACACCTTGAGGAGATCCTTGTGCGGGTGCACACTGATTATTACACAAAATATGATAGGTACCTCAACAAGGAGCTCGAGGAAGCTCCAGATATACGTAAGATAGTTCCTGAACTCAAGAGTAAGGTTCTGGCGGACGTGACTGTGATATTCAGTGGCCTTCATCCAACGAACTTTCCAGTAGAGAAAACTCGGGAGTACTACCATGCCACAGCCCTAGGTGCCAAGGTCCTGACCCAGCTGGTAATGAGCCCTGATGCTCGTGACAGGGCCACCCATGTGATTGCGGCACGGGCTGGTAAGTAACCTCCTCCTGTGCCTTCGTGGATGGGAACACAGATGACCAGCGGTGGTCTCTGTCCTTGAGACTAGAACTGTGGCCTTTTAAGAATAGATTGATAATTATATTTTGGTGAAATTCTTGGTCTTTCTTATATTGCTTCACATCTACTTACTGAGTGCACATATATGATCACTTTCACTTGCTGTCTTGGGTTAGCACCTTCTCCAGGAGTTTCAGATGGACTGGGAGACTCAATGTTAGTGTTATACTGGAGAAATTAAGATTGAAGAGTAGTGAGAACCTCAGTTTGGCAGGTAAAAGTCGGACTAACCCTCTGAGTTAGAAAAGCAAATGCACTGTTCAAGTGGAGTAAAAAGAATAATTGACTATAGATGGAAAAGTAGAGGGTATAGTTTGTCACCTCTCTTTGGTAAAATCCCCCTCATTGTATGTGTCAAGTAAAACAACCCTTCAGTAATGGGCAAGTCTTGAAGGCATGATTATTCTCAGTTGCTTAAAAAAATTCATTACTTTAAAAAGTGCTGCTCATAAGCAATTTTAATTTTTCCGGAATAAAGATTCCCCAGCCACCTAAGGTTCTGTTTGCCCTGTTATTTCTCCCCTATTACAGGCAGTGAATGAATTGGGGCTTCCAGATATTTACCTTGAACTCCATGTCACTGTGTTGAGTGAACTAATCTCTTGGCCAGTCTCTGGGAGAGCCAGCATGGTCTTCGTGGACTCTGGTTCCAGTCTGTCACATGATCAGTAAAGCATTTGATTTGAATAAAGGCCAGTGGAAGGTACCCATCTCAAGGTGCACTGCAAAGTCAGAGGCAGGCTCTTTGGGCCCAGCCAAATACTCTGTCCTAGGAGAAAACCCAATTTTTCAGTCCACCCTCCCACATGCCCCTCAGAGGCCATGAGGTATTTTCTCTTCTGAACATGGAGATCGTATAGGTGAAGTACATCCTGGAGTCACTTTCATATATACCTCTGAAGTCCAGCAACTGCCCAGTACTGACCCTCATCTCACCTTGCCTGGTGCTGAAGCTTGTGGACATCTACTTGCTGACAAGGATGAGAGTTGCTGTCATTTCTTTTTGCTTTTGTGTTCATGATCTTACATGAGGTAGCTAGGACATAGCTTCCTCTCGCGGTGGAGGGATTTTGCCTCTGAAGGAAAATGACTCTCCCAAAGACTTAGCTGACCAGGGTCATGACTGGCCACTCCATGTCACAGAGATCACTGTGAAGGGTACAGAGTGTGTATTCGAAGACCCTATGACAGGGTCAGCTGGAGCCAAAACGGAGTTACCAGGAAGGAGGTAGGCGGAAAAGAACTCTTTAGGGAGCTAGGAATGCCCCAGCTCAGGCCCTCAGGGTGTACAGAAAGGGTAGAAGGTGAAACTGGTGATAAGTGGAGGACACAGCCAGACCAGGGGCCGAAGTAGGGCCAGAAAATCCACAGGTCTTTGGTGCAGTGGTGCTGGAGAGAATGGGACAGGTGTAAGTTAGTTGAACAATTGACAGGACCTGCTAATGGATCCTTTGACAGAGTAGCTTGGGGTACAGGCAAGAGACAGTGGGGGTTGAGTGGTGTCTACAAACAAAATTCAAAATAATAAAAAGTGATTTGGTACAGAAATCTCACTAATAGGGCTTGGGACCTGAAGACGCCAATGACAGTAGATGTATTCTGGGAGCCTGACCTCTCGGCTTTGTGCTGAGGGGTGGCACATAGCCCCACACGCAGCTCCCTACAGTTCCCTCCCTAACCCTGGGTTTGTGTCTTGGGCAACCCCTTCCCTGGTGCAGGAACAGTCTGACATGTGGTCTCTGCAGGCACAGAGAAGGTGCGCCAGGCACAGGAGTGCAGGCACTTGCATGTGGTCAGCCCTGACTGGCTGTGGAGCTGCCTGGAGCGCTGGGACAAGGTGGAGGAACAACTCTTCCCCCTCGCCGATGACGATACCCGGGCAAACAGGTAGGTGTCTCTGCCCTCGGATCTGTGCTTTGTGGTCCTTGTCCATGCTGTGATGCTCCCTCCCTGGATGGTTCCAGCTCTCTGAGCAGCCCTGGCATAAATGGGCATCTGGTGGTTATGATGGTCCTTTGGGGCCCTGACCATCACTGGCAAGCCTTCGTGTGTATTGCTCCACTTCATCTCCTTGACAGCCCTGCTTTATGGGAATCTGAGGCCTGGGGTGTCTCTGCAGGATCTATATCACCCAGCCACTGAGGCTACATACTCCTGCAGGTATGGTACATCCCATGCACCCTGCTGTAGCCCCTTTCACTCAGCAAACTGACCTTGTGACTCCCTGTGAACTCAAAGATGAGCTTATGGTAGAAATGTGCCATCAACACCAGAGATGATGGAGGACGGTTTTTCTTTATTTCAATAAAGCACAATGTGGCTTTTAATAAAGTATCTTAGTTTGCATGATTTTTTAGCACCAGAGAATACTATGTGAATTAAAGATCGTAGGACAGAGAGGTTATTACAGATCTTCGAACAAAGGATGGTAGGGTAGAAGCTTGGGGGTAAATGTGCAAAACTGTGTAGTCAAAAGAGAAGGTGTAGGAGAAAAAATGGAAATTCCTATCTTTTATGTATTCATGGGGAGAAAGTAGATAGTATAGGAATACTCATGTTTGTTGAGAACAGTCTGTCAGCAATCTGGGCCTTGTATCGGGGTTAGGCTCAGGTGAATATCAAAGTAACTGAGGATAAAAAGAAAGGAAACTCATCCAGCAAAGGTGAGTGACTCAGCCCAGTGGGAGGCTGGTTCCCAGGGAGGTCCAACACTGCACAGCAGGTTTGGTAGGTGCTGGTAATTGAGAAATCACTATTTTTCTGCAGTGTGCACCATTGTGTTACTCTGTACATTGTCGTGTCCTGGTATTTGGAAGTACACATTTTCCATCTGAGCAGCTCAGTCAGGCACTGAGGGGGCTTTTGTCTAACTTTGGGCAGTGACAGTCACTGGTTGTCCCTGAACACATCCATCTTTGTCCTGGTGTCCCTGCATTCCTGTATCCCATATTCCCTATCTCCTAGTCCCCTATATCCTTTTCCCCCTTATCCCTCTCAGTGTTCTTGTCCACCAAAACTACATTGTTACCAGTTCTGCTCTCATGGCTCTTATTTTCTTCATCCAACAGAGAGAACAGTCCAGCAACTTTTCCTGACAGGCAGAACGTGCTTCCAACCGCCTTATTTCACCCAACACCCATCCATCCCAAGGCCCAGCCTGGTCCCGAGGTCCGAATCTATGATTCCAACACTGGAAAGCTCATCAGAATGGGTGTTCAGGGCTCCGTGCCAGGGCCCCCCAGTTCCCTGCCTATCCACAGGGAGCCCACCTCCTTCAGGTATATTGTGCCACCTGAGAGCTTCCTTTGCTGGCAGGAACCAGCATCTGAAGTTGT